TCTTTCCCTTTGGGTTAGGCTTTCCCCACCTATTGCCAGCATGCCTGGTGTCCTGCAGATCAACCCATGACCAAAGAAACCAAAGTTCTGCCGGTTACACCAGTCTTGGAGCCTCTCCTTGTTTATCCCCTCACCAATCACTGCAACTGGTGGGATAGAGACTACTACTTGTGCTCCTGATCCCTCTACCTGTCATTCCAGGACCCTGAAGGCTCTCTTCATTGCCCTTGGACTTCTGGTAGCTACTTCATCACTGCCTACCTCAAGTATCAGGACCGGCTAGTAATCACAGGGCCAAACTAGGGTAGGGAGTTTCCTCTGTATATCCCTAATCCTGGCCACACAGAGGTAGCTGAAGTCTCTAAGAAGTGGGTCTAGCCTAGACAAAAGCAAGTCACCTGTGACAAGGACTGGTCTTTTGTTCTTAACTGAGGTGGTTTTGGTACAAGGTGTGGGCTGACTGCCTCGGTGGCACCTCCAATACATTATTTTACAAAATACTATCGGTACAATCTTTAGGGACATTTGGTCTGTTATGCAAACTTAGGCTTTTAAAGACAAATAATCACAGATCACAAACTTACGCTTTACTTACCAATAATGTTTTCCAAAGAACTGAAGAAGAAAACTACATCAATGTTAACAAATAAAATGTCATTTTCTGCTTTCTTATTCCCATTTTCACCATCACAGTTCCCACAATAACCAACTGTGAAGTAACAACTGCTGCAAAAATGTGTAAGATTGTCAGTGAAAAAAACAGAAAATGGAGCCTTATTGAAGCAGAGAAGCAGCCTAAGAAAGTTCAAATTTTTTTCCTACAGCTTCTTATAAAATTATTTAAGTTTTAAAAATAAGTATAAAGTCACCTGCATATCAGTGTGTATGAGGATGGCATGTCATAAACAAAATGGTCAAAACCCAACTTCTGCAGCATCCCACTTCTGACTGTTGAAAAAGATTCACCAATGTAATTGTTCCACCAAAGCAACAACCAAAGCCCAAATGGACCTGCCACTTTTATCTGACTAAGCACTGTTCTGGTTTGGCGGGTTTTTTGGCAGCGGAGGAAGGGCGCCGGAGTGGCCTGGTAAGAAGCTGAGAAGCTCCTCCTACACCAAAACCCACCCAAAGAGGCATTAGAGGGACAACAGATGCACCTCAGTGATTAACATACAAAAGAATAGCTATAACACCTGAGCAGAGAAGAGCTGTGCGGGAGGAGGAGAGCGGTGCTGGTGGTTGGTGAGGAAGAAGGGGAAGAAGGTGCCCAAACAGAGGTTTCCCTTCAAACCATGGCAAGATGGCAGCTGTGCCCCTGCACTCATGGAGGAACATGGTGGAACATTCCCTGAAGGTGCCAGGAGGGGTGAACTTGGCCAGTGGACTTTTATTTTGTGGCCAGAGGATTTGCTACCAGTGGACTCTGATTGCGCAGCTTTGGAAGACCCCGGCGCCAGGGGAGGTGGCTGTTCCCGAATCCCCCGTGACTCTGTGGGAAGCCCAGGCGGGAGCAGCTCCGGACCTCGTGGGAAGGACTCATGAAGGAGAGGTTCGCGGAGGACTCTTTCTCGTGGGGAAGCAGGTAAGGACTGTAAGGAATCCTTCCTGAGGAGGATGGCATAGCAGGAACCCCCAGCCTCTGAAGTGACTCTAAACCCCATCCCCTGTCCCCCTGTGCCGCTGGGGGGAAGGAGGGAGAGAAACCGGGAACAAAGTGATTTGGGCCTGGGAAGAAGGCAGGGGTGGAGTAACATATGCAAGCCCTGCTCTGTGTGTGTCTGTGTCCTGTATGTGTTTGATTAGTGTGAAATTAAATTTTTGGGTTTTTTCCGCAAGCCGAGTCTGTTTTTTCCGGGACTTTAATTGGTGAAGACCCTTCCTTGTCCTTTGTCTCAGCCCATGAGCTTTGTCCTCCTCATCCCAGAGTGTGTGTGTGGGGGAGCTGAGTGAGCAGCCGAGGGGCTGTTCCTTTTGTTGTGGTGTTGTCCTAAACCACGACACAGAGGAAGAGTAAATATACAGGAAGACTTGGAATTCAGATGAGAAAGGGGAAGTGGTCAGACTGTTTTTTTCTAATGCTGTACTGTGACAATTCATCTAGATTTTTTTGGTTGGACCTCCCCAGAATACAGCATGCTTTTTGAAAAAACAAAGTCCCAATAATGTCTATGCTAACAGATATTTTTTTTTCTTTTTTTTTAAACTCAATAGAAAGCAAGACAATAATAGTTTAATACTGTAATTGGCAAAGCTGTCAGAGACTGCTCTTGACTGAAATATCTGCCAGTCTCCTGGTTTACACAGCAAAGTAGAAATTGCACACAGAACTTGAGTAGCCAAATACCATGGAGTATACGTGGCTCAAAGATTTTCTCTTTACGAATAATAAGGTTCTGCAAGAAGAAACTCAGAAACTTAATTACTTTTTGCAATTAATGCCAAACTGTAAAAAATGCAGCAGTTTACACTTAAGAAATTTCAGATATTAAGATGTTCAGATATAGAGATACTAAGGTATTATTTTACAAGGGCATGTAGTAATAGGACAAGGGGTAATGGTTTTAAGATGAAAGAGGGATTACATATTAGGAAGAAATTATTTTCTGGGAGGGTGGTGAGACACTGGAACAGGTAGTCCAGAGAAGCTGTGGCTGCCCCTTCCCTGGAAGTGTTCAAGGACAGGTTGGATGGGGCTTTGAGCAACCTGGTCTACTGGGAGGTGTCCCTGCCCATGGCAGGGGGATTGGAACTAAATGATCTTTAAGGTCCCTTCAAACATAATAATTCTGTGTTTCTAAGATTAATAGGTAATGCTTTCCTTCCATTTCTTCTTGTATTGAGGCAAAGCAGGACTCTCAGATTCTCGGTAGTGCAGCACATACAGGTAGCTACTGTACACCAGAATAAAGCTCATGAAGTAAGCTCAGAAGCTAACTTGCATGCTGAAGTATGGTATTGTTTGATTATAACTTTGGCGCATAATGCTTCCTCTAACAAGTTGGCAAAGAACAGAGATTTTGCATTTTAGACTCATCCCTCTACCACTGCCATTTATTTAATGAGCACTCCTGGGTGCTCTAACCTGAAAGGATGCTCATTAGATTTGTGCATCTGGCCCTATCAGCAATCTTCTACAACTTCTGAGGTAAGCTTAACACATCAACAGACATACCGTTTTCAGATGAAATAAGGTTAACTAGTCTCCCAGTGAACAGGCAAGCAAGTTTCAAGGAGAGCATACATGCTCACATTCTAATGCACAATAAAAGAAGACCTGCAATGAAGAACATGTTCACTTCATGCATTCAAATGGATGCATTATCTTATTACAAGCTGAATCCCAAATTTCAGCTTGGAGCTCATTATTGTCTTACATGTTGCAAAGAGGAAAAAAAGTTAAAAGGGGAAAAGCAAATGCAATAGTAGATTTCAGGGAACAAGTGGAAAGGGCTGTTGATGAGGCAAATATATAGGGCTAGTTGATAGAGATGACAGAAACCACACAGCAGAAGCCAACAATAGTAGTAAAACTGAAATGCTCAAGTGGGTTGGTACCAAGTGAAAGGAATAGGTGTACTGGGTCTGTCTGGGAGAGAGTTTAATTTCTTAAGAGCAGCACGTAGGGTGCTGCATTTTGGATTTGTGGCTGAAGCAGTGCTGACACACCCCGATGTTTTGGCTAAGGCTGAGTAGTACTGTCTCTTTTTCCCACTTAGCCCTTCACACCAAGTAGACAGAGGGTAGGCATGAAGATGGGCGGGAACACAACATGGACAGCTAACCTGAAGTGACCAAGGGGTATTCAATGCCATATAGCGCCCTGTTCAACAACGAAAACTGAAGGAAGGGGATTCTGGGGGAGGTGGTCATTGCCATTGGCCAGAGACTGGCTGCACATCAGTCTGCTTGTGGGAGGTGGTGAGTACATCACTTTTGAGTTTTCCTCTTCCTCTTTCCTTCAGTTATTTAAGTGTCTTTATCACAAACTACAAGTCTTCTCACTTTTGCTCTTCCTATTCTCTTCCCTGTCCTGCTGGCAGGGGAAATAAGCAAGCAGCTGTGGTGCTTAGCAGCTGGCCAGGGTCAACCCATGACAGAAGGGGCAAAGAATAAAAAGTCAGAAAAAATAGTTCAGCACCTATCTACCCTTCTTAGCTCTATTTATTTTAATAGGTGAGAAACATGTCCATGTGAAGAAATGCATGCATGGACAAGAATACTGGCTGCAAAATCACATTTTGCAGCTTATACAATGAAACAGAAAGATAAGAACTGACACTTCTTGATGCTACCACTGCACCCTCGTGATTTGGTAAGACTTATGACTCACCTGCCCACAGAACAGTAAAAGATCTGCAACTCACAAAAATGGTAAACCACCACAAAAGCGGTTTTCCTAACAGCTTTCTTCAGAAGAACTATTTTATTTTATTTTTTTCTTTGAAATCACTTTCTGTACAAGTGTATTAAATTACAGAAGCACAATGAAGAGATACTAGGTAGTTATGTGCACTGTTCTCCCTCCATTTATAGTTCAAGGAAAGGAACTCCAGCAGAGGTCAATTTGAAGTACTTATGTTCTGCTCTGAATCTTACTCTAAAGAAGTCCTTTTCCTTCTGTCTTTACTAATACCAGAGGTAACAAAAGCAGGACACTCCTAGCTTAGCTGGTTAAGTGAGTAGAATAAACTCCCACACAGACCTACCACTGGTAAACAGAGGTGACACAGTTTGTATTTAAGAAGCTCAAAGTCCTTCAGAATAATTTTGGAAGTTAGGAGATTTTGCTGTCTCTTCCTTATTTATACCTGTATTTGCCACATCCTTGTCTTTCTCATCCCCTCTTCTGAACCTACTGCTGGTAAATTGCATTGTGAGGTCACAGTTGATTTTGTACAACCATGTGGTGTATTTACCTCAGGATGAGCCTGGGCTTTTTCAAAATAATGTGAGCATTAGTTACATTAGTGGGCATGTGAAAGTGAGAGATTTAAACTCTGCGTTTTGCTTCTACAGTAAGGAAAACATGTCTATTCATTTTTTACATACTGACCATGTGTCCAGCCTTGCACCAGACCCAAACACAAGAAGAAGAGGAACTTGCAGACAAGGGTTTGTCATCAGGGAGTTGTACATGTGTTGAAGTCAGTCATGGATGCATCCATGTGCAGACAGACAAGATCAATATTAAATAACAGTTATTTGACTGCATTTTGAACTTTCTAGGCGCACTGTGTAAGGTTTCTTTTCCACACCATTTTATGTGCATGACTCAAAGGTACAAAGTACGCATTGGACATATTCCCAAATAAAAAACATTCATGAGAACTGACAGCTGGTTAATATCACATTTGTAAATCTTTTCAAAAACCGTGCAACTCTGAAGTTTCTAGGCTTATTTTAGCACTTGATCAATAGACCTACCACTAAGGTGAAGCTGTGTTCAGGAAGAATCCCATACTGTTCAACAAGCTTTGCTCTCTTCACACTGGGGAGGTCAGGAAGTCTCTCATGAATCCAATCAATATTTATCACTTGCTGATGGTTCATATTAGCCGGCAAAGATTTTGCATCATACAGAATCAATGGAGGAAGGTTTGGCTCTGGCATGAAACTAGTAAAAATCAAGAAAAACTCCTTTATAATTATTTTTAGTCATAAGCTAAGGAATAAAATCTGTATTGCAAGTTCATACTTACCTATAAGTTGTATAAATGTTTCTAAATAAAATATTAAAAATTCAAGACTTGGTGTATCACTGGTAAGTAGTAAGAGACCAGACTATGAACTGCTGTGAACCCTTACATCCTTTCTTTGAGAATTTGCCACCGATTGCCAAAGAGCTGATGTTAGAAAAGCGGTAATTAGAACATTTCTGCACCCAAAATAATAATAAAAAAGCTCAATAAACCCAGTAAGAATAGATGTGGAAACAACCCACTCCTTTTGGCATCAAGCGTGAACTGTGGATCTGAAGAAAAAGGGAGTGGACTGGCAGGGAAAAACCTAGACTGACAGCCAACTGCCAGGAGTCATCTGGGCAGGTTGTAACCTTTTCCAGACTAACTTCAAAAATCTTGATGAAATCTCAAGCTGTGCTAAAAGCAAAGTTACTGTGCTCAGCAGGGTGCTATCACAGAACAAAAGGCTGCCTTAAAGAGAAGGCCAATTCAAACCACTTGAATGATTGAAGCAGAAACTTGACTCTTCTATGATCAAATGAGGGGTTCAAAAATATCAGAATAAAGGACATTGGGTGCCCTCTACATTTGCTATAGTAATTTCTATTTCAAATCTGCCTAAGCATGAATTTTAAGTTTTATATATAATTTGCAGCAGTAACTGACAAAAAGGTCTGAAAAATACAGTTTAATACCAATCATAATCTTAGTACTAGTAATAATCTTTCTGGTCTTGATTTGAAATATCTTAGACTCACCAGTTTTGTCTAGGTTTTAAAAAGATTCTTTTGCATTTGTTTAAATCAGTCCTGTTAAATAGGCCTCATACCAGCCCCTACCATAACAAGGAACTCGCAAAATGACCACTGCCTTTTCTGCTGCATTTCTATAAACAATTATTTTCAAAGCAGATTAAAGTCTGAGGGATGTTTTCAAAATCCTTGCTCTGCTCTAATAAGATCAGTAGCAGAATATATGTGGATTTAACAGGAACACAGATATGGCAAACCTAAGAAGTTCTTAAAGTTCTCCTGCAGAAGCAGAATGACAATTCTCCAGGTGGGAAGTGAACTCTGGGAGTAAGAGGAAGACTACCTCTGCAATGCAGAGCTAGGAAACTAGTGGGAGGATAAGCACTAACCAGGGAAGCTGGCAGACACACACAGAGTAGAAGTAAGGGCAGTCAGAGCAAAAAGCAATCACTGAACTGCATCCCTCTAACCCATCCCATTCAGACACCACTGCTTCCTATTCTAGGGCATTAAGAAGCTGTGGTGCTTCTCTGCAGCACTGCCTCAGCACTTGTTCCCAGCAGCACTGCTTCCCAACAGGACTCATGCCTTGTTCTCTTGCCCTCTGGCTAAATCCTTCTTGGGTGGCTGCTTATGGTTTGATAGATGTCCTCTCACACTGGTGGAAGGCACACAGTACTTAGCAAGGTTACACTGGGTCTACAAAAGATCATAAGGTAGAAACCTGCCTATAAATCCTGACACCTTTCAATAGTCGCTAAGGTTTTCAAACAGTGATTGTGATCTATGATCACAGAATTTAAGCATGGAGAAGCAGGGCCTGCTATCTGAAAATAACTTCCCTCGGCATTTACTTAAAGCACAAACAATGCTTAATTCAGAATATTCTTGCATCTTATGTCAGGCATTCTTAAGAATACGTTTGTATCTGGCCACAAGGTAAACCTTCAATTTACCCACTTTGAGCTAAGGTACTACAGCTTAGTTTTTGGGACAAGTCTACATGTTTTAGCAGAGATAAGACGGTTCTAGATCTGATTTGCTCAGACTAGCAAGGATTTTGACAGGTCTCTTCTCCTTTCAGTGGAAGATAAACTTCTCATACTCACTATGCTGACCAACTTACATTCTCATTACACTGATTACACTGAAGAAATGAAATTAAATAAATTCTCAGTTCTTGAAATGTTAAGTTTCTATTAAAAAAATACCGATAATCCTGTTTCCCTTCTTTGTCTCTCATTGATACAGTGCACCTGAAATAAAAACAAAACACGTAAGATGTTGTAAGAGGTACCACAGAATTAGTTTTATAACAAAGACACAAAGTAAAAACATTGTCTCCTGAAGATCAGGACAGCTTCTTAAAGCCACTTCAAAGATTGTGTGTATGTAAGAGGGCAGCCATTTTCACACAGACACCGCCTGATGTACCACACAACCTGTTGTGAAAAAATACTACCTGTGAGGAGACTGCTTGTGAATACCAGCTTCAGAAGACAGAAGCTGAGCAATACTATGTTAACTCTCCTGATCATGTTAATAGGTATCTGTGGCACTCTAAAGCTACTATTCCTGATGTTCTTCCAAAATAAAAACTCACCCAAGCTTGGAATCAAAGGCTCTTGTTTCATTCAGAATTGTTCCTCCATTTTCAAGTTCTTTAATTTGCCTCTGTATTTCATAGTCTCACAGAAACAAAGAAAAAAGAGTAAGCTTCTTATACTGCACTATTAGCTTTTCTACACTTCACTATTTTATTTTTCACTGCTATGCAATAATGGAGTAATTTGTTGTTTTAACCTTAATGAAATCAACAGCAGTAGTTACAGGCAGAATTATCAGTCACTGTCTCTCTCTCCAGGACTGTTTCTTTCTTTGCATGTTTTCCTCATCTTCTTTCATTCCCTTTAAATAGAAAATATTTTCTCTCAGGCATTGCAGCCAAACCATACATTCCTCGTGACCTTCCAATCACCCAGTTCAGTTTTCATTGGAGATGTAATAATCATTCTTTCTTGCTGATAGCCAAGCTGCATCTGAACTCATACACACCACCTACCGTACTCAGTGGAAAGCAATCATCTATCTACATCAGAGGACACAAAGCAACTGCTAGCATAATTCAGTTCTAAACATGCTAGACACTGAAAATAATCTGATTTATTTTTTATGCAGGCAGAGGGTTGGCTACCCCTGTGAGAGGTACTGATTACCAACATGGCTGCTATCCCCAGAGTACCCCATACCAAGATTTAATCTGTCAGGGAGCAGCAAGAGCAGGGCTGCTCCACAAAGAGGGATAAGTGAGGAGCCGATAGAGACTAGAGTGCAGGCAAAGCCTTCACTGTCTGGTGCAATCCCACTCGTCTGAACAGCATGGACGGAGGCATGTGCTACTAACAGGGGCCACTGACAGTCTCAGTCAAGGTGACAGGATGAGGTGGGTCCAGAGTTCATCCAGGGAGTTCAGACAGAAGCAACAGGAGGTAAGTCCAGAGATAGGACTTGGAACAAGACTACAGAACAGGTCACAGGTCCATCAGGAGACAGGACTGAAAACTGGCACACCTGTGACATAGCTCAGGCCAAGTCTGAAGGCCCCAGGCTGAGCTTAAATGGGACTTCTGTGCCCATGGGCAAGGTGCATAGATGGGACACCAAGATGAAGTCAGTCATGCCATTTAAGGGCAATGACTGCGCGCAGGGGCCTGACATGAAACATGTCATAAAGTATCTACAATGCCCCTATAATGAAGCAACCACCATTTACCTATTGCTTTCGCCAGGAATCGTATGCTATTGATATTCTTCACTTCAGTCCTCACTCCATAAGGCTCTCCAGGGTGATGAACAGAAACATTTGCATCCACTCTCAGCTGACCCTCTGTAAAAGGAAAATTCAACAACAGAATTGTCTGCCCTGTAAACTAAAGTAAAAGCTGTGGCATGCATTAATAAACTGTATGTAACCTGCAGAGCATTAATAGCAGACTTCCATAAGTTCAGAAAGGAGTAACAATCTTCTCAAAGTATTCTTTTTGTGATTCCATCTCAAGACTGTGCCTCCAGTACCTCAAAATGTTTTGAGCATACTACTTTTTAAAAAACATTACTGCTCATAATTCCTCTCAGAGGAATCTGCATGGTGCAGTGCAGCACAGATCTTCTAATTCACATAGTGAAAAAAGCTCTGATTCACAGCCTTTAAAAAAAGGGCAGAATTAGACAAGCAATCTCAAGTGCTGGATTCTGAGCTGCCATTCCTCTGAAAACAGTATTAAAATACCTCTTGGAATTACAATTTGATGGATACGTACTAACCTAGCATGGAACACAGGAACCTACAGTTACACTGAACAGATTTACTATGGTGTTCTTGAAAATGCACAGCTCAAGGAAAAAATATGAAAAGTAGAGGATTTTTTTGGTAGTTTTTTTCCTCTCAAGAAATTGCAATCTCCCTCCTGCCCCAAACTTCCCTGGCTGCAAAAAAATGAAACTGAATACAAAGTTACATTTAAAATCACCCTGGACTTTTAGTCCAAAATGGAATAATGTCCTTAAAGATCTTTCATGACTTAACCACAAGTAACTCATAATTGTATCTTTCTAAGTTTTGGCCCTCTAAAGACATCCCTTCTGAGAAGAAAAGGCTTGCACAGTTATTCAGCTGGTGTGAATAAACATGAGAGGTTGCATTAAAAAGAAACATAATTTTTCCCATATTGCACAATGAACAACTGTAGCCTTTCTTTGCTTTTTCAATTTTTATTTTAATTTCAAATACAGATAAAAAGAAAGAAACATTTACTGCTTAGATACAGCAGCATTTTTAAAGGGAGGGCAAAATAGCTCAGAGTTAAACCTGTGAAGATGTCTACAGCTTCAGAATCCACTCTGGTCAACAGATGTAAATTGACTAGAGAAGCCTTGGTACACTTTGTAAAAGTAGGCTCAGTGATAGCGCACCGATTTCCTGTGTCTTCGTAGAGTCTTACCAGACATGCAAATGAAGGACAAAGGTGCTGGAATAACCCAACATCCCTTTCAAGAGAAGTGTTTTGCATGTGCTCTCTCTTTGGGATGAAATGAGTACTTGTTCCAAAAAAGGAACTGTTTTGTCCTGCCCTTGCTTCATTTTGAGACATGACCTGCTTCTACTCTGATGTCCGTGTCAATGTGACAAGACAATTAAATTAATCAGGCATAAGTGAAAGGAGAACTAGGCCCCAAATGTTCTTAAACTTTTTTCCTTCAAACCTGCTTTAGCCCAGCTTACTCTCCTTTGACTTTAGAGTGAAACAATCTTTTGTTGCTAATGAAGTAACACCTGATAAAACTGGGAACTTGTCTTCATTGAACACACAAGTAGAATAAAGGTAAAATATGAGAATGTAAAGACCTCACTTGAAAGGAAGTAGTTATGATGAGGGAAAACCACAGGAAAAAGCCCCTAGAAACACCACCTTGAAAAAAAAACCCAAGACTGTTACTTTTAAAGCCAAATATACCGAAGGAAAAATATTCCCTCCACTAAAGGAGGGCTAAATTCAGTAGTGATAAATGATGTATGTCATTTATATGTCCACAAACTCCTTTGAAGAAGCATGCAAACTGCCTGCTTAATATTAACAGCTGTGCCCCATTTGACATGTGTAACACTAGTGAGAGAAAATATTCAGAGACATACATCAAGTCTAGCAATTATTATTTCCCCTTACACTAAATTAGATTTGCATCACTAGCCAACATTTATTGGATCTCATCTATTGTGTGATACATTGACCACTCTGACTCAGTTCTCTAGAAGAGGCATCCACTTAGACTGTGGACAGAATTTGCTGCCAGAACAGCAAGGCCAACTCTCACAGGCAAAAATACAGCTTACATTGTGAACACTAATAGGTAGCTTATAATTGGATGTATGTGTGGAAGGGATGAATGCCCAAAACTGTACTTTTAAACTCTTCAGCGGAAGCCTGCTTTTGCTAGCTGTAACCATGGGCTGGTTGTACATTTTGATAAAATTAGGACTGAGCAAAAATGGCATGACCTGAATCTTTTAATTAATAGAGAGGCACGAGATTGAATCACCGGTCAGGAAGCTGATCACACGCTGTGCTTCCGCACATTACTTATTGGGAAAATTGAGGCCTTGAAGTTCCAGAAAGAAGAGCTGATGCCAAAAGCAGGGGTTCCCAAAAGAGGAGTGGCTTCAGAAAGACAGTAGTGATCTAGGCTAGAAAGAGCCTGGAGGTGGGGAGTCCCAAGACCAGAAAGATGCACAGATGCAAACGCCAGGGGATACCTAGGGACCCTGGCCTCTAACACCTGCTGCACAACATATAGCACCAAAATTTTCTGGCCCACCTCCCCAGACCAGCAGTGATCTCCCTAGTGAAAAGAGAAATTGAAACCTAGTGAACATAATGCTGGAGAGGAGGGAGAGAGAGAGTGAATGTGTGAAATGAACAAGTAGGGTAAAACCAGTCTTGTTGGTTCTTATATTAACCCCAGCAACCCTGTCTGCTATACACTGGAATTTACTCCATCTCACCCATGACACCAGCACAAGTTTACTGCCTAAACCCATTTTAGGACTAGCTGAGACCTAACACACAACTTACAAGATGGTTCATGTTTCCATGACTTTGTCCCAGAAATTCCACATTCTACAAATAATTCTTACTACAGATCTACTCTGTTGCAGCACTGTGGCAAACAAGATGAGCACAGACAGAGAAAAACAGCACAAGAACCCTGGGGACATCCCCTCTTGCCTAGGTTTATCCTGTAAAATCACTGTGAGAGGCAATATAAAACCCACCACTGCATATCTCTGCAGAGGAAGACAGGCCCTTGAGGACACATGAAGCACAGCAGATACTAGGACAGGCTCTGAGGATTTTAAGAACAACAGCTAGAAAAGGCTAAGTGTTTCAAGTAACCACAGAGTAAAATAACCAGAAGCTCCAAAATTCCTGCAAATAAAGAATTACTGGTGACAAGCAAACATGCCCTTCCCCCTTCTGTACCTGCCATGACAGCCTGGCTGCTCCCAAGTGTTTGAAGAATGAGCTGAAGCTCTCTGACTGCTGCAGCTGCTTCTTCCCCACAGCACATATCAGGCTCCATGACAACTTCCATGAGGCCAACTCCTGTCAGG